TTGATGGTCTTGCAGTGCGAACTGGAATTTATGCATGTCTCTTTGCCTCGTGTGGACATGTATACTACACCACCCAGGCAATATGGTTTGGATGGACAACATCATGGACTTCTGGGAGGATGTCCTGCAAATGGAGGCTGATGAAATCACAAGAAAACTGAAGCAGTGGGCATGCATGTCAGGTTGTAGTATGTTCCTTCTCATTCTCCCACCTGGTCATATGTAATCTCTCCTATTGCAGGCATTGATGAACATGAGATGGTGCAGATCATACATTGGGTTTGCACCCTCCTACTTAATTCAGGGCTGAGTGCATTTTTTTCACCTATATCCTACTAGAAGCAATACTAAATACCATGTTTTTAGGAGCTATTGTTAAGAGATGTGACATACGCATCAACTACACAAACTTTGGTATTGCTATGAAAGAGAAGCTTGGGGTTGACATAAGGGGGTGGCCTGAGGATGTTCCATTTCAATCCCCCACCAGCATCAATTATCACAATGCCCTTCTGAAGCTCTGCAATGGACTGAAGAATGGCTCCTGCCTCTGGTTCCACATGTCCCTGCATCAACGGGAGGAATATAGCGCCCATCTTGCTGTGTGGCACAAGAAAGGAGAGGTAGTGGGCAAGGCACACAAGAAACACTCTGATGCTGGGGTACCCCATAAATGCAAGGGAAAGGAGAATGGACACTGAGCAAGTAAGCACAAGGGTCTGGGCCATCTGCAGAGGCCCCAAAGAGTGCAGAGTTTGTTGAGACATCTGAAGAGGAGGACACCAGTGAGGATGAAACTTAGTTGCTGTTCTTTGTAGTGTTTTGGCACCCAGAAGCTTCTTATTCTACCTAATAACAATGTCAGTTATCATTTGCTACCTATATATAAAAAATACGCCTCAAATCCATCCTCTGTTAGTGAGATACATGAGCTCACTATCTTGCACAGTGAGTGTGAAGGTTTAGTGCTCAGTGGTGATGTGGTGGCTATTGCCGGTGGTAGCACCAATAATAGTCAGAAGTGTCTAATTATAGTTCCTAGGCACGCACCCTACACCACCCTACCCCCCCCCTACCCCCCAACACTACCGAGCAGCCCTACATCAGCCCCCAAGGCCCCACTATATTGAATAATTATTTATTTGGGTGCATACAACTGAAAGCCAGTTGATTTAGACCTGCCATCAGGCCCAGTTGTCAAGTCTAATTAGGGTGGTTACATGGGAACTACAGGTGATGACATCACTTACTCAGAGGTGCTTTATTATAAATAGAACAAATGAATCCTGATGAAAACCCTAATGGAGTGAAGGCTTCGTTCAACGCAGGGGGGAACGGTTGCTGTTCAAGTCTTCCACAGGTTACGTCTTCCTTACTTTATCCTGTGTTTGCTTTGTAGGGGACTGTGCAGATCACATGCCCAAGTTTTTTTTTTTTTCTGAAGTTTTGACATCTCAGCATCCCAACTGATAATTCCAATATCAAATGAGTCTGCATCACAGTCACTGCAGAAATGAGAAAATAGTCGGACCCAATTAGTGGGATAGACTATATATGTGGAATATAAACAGATGTCACATACAATGCAAATCCTGAAGCACTAGACTAGCAAGAGGTACCTGGTACACAGTGCTGACTCTAATCTGACTCCACATACATCAGTTGTGTGGAGATAGATTTGTTGTCCTTGGACCTAAACTGACAGTGGGATCATATCTGAAAACATGATTCGCACATCCAGATTATGTGTCATATATCTGATCCGACTGCTCCGATATAAATATCCACTCCGCCCGATTCTGCATCACCCCCACTTTCCAACCACCTCCGCTCCATCCGTTCTCCACTCCGTCCAATCACCATCCGCATCTGCTCCTACACTTCTGCTTGACTGCCCAACTGGTCACCTTCTAGAATGTCTCCATTCAACTGGAACCTCTTTCCCTGTTTAGACATATACTTTCCCCTTCGGTAAATAGACCCTTACTTCCGGATCACCAGTAACTCCTCTTACCGCTCGATCACTGATCCAACACATACATATTGATATCCGCTCCAACTTATGTCTTTGCCTGTGTAAGTACTTACAAACTATATCCTTGGTACATAGCTTTACAACATAAGTCTCCTAATCACTGCCTCACACTTAGAAGTATATAACATATCCTGTACTTAGATATTTTCCCCAGTCTTAATATTACTTGTCTTCTTGCAGTTTCTACTTGTGAGAATTCTCAGTAGGACCTTGCCTCCTCCGGACACAAGTTTCATCTTGTGGTCACCTCCAACTTTCCACTCTGACTTAGAGCTATGCTCTAAGTCTTCCCCCTTACTTCTCCGCCTCTAACAACAATCCCCCTTTGCTCCTATCCACCTTCCACACTATCCTCTGCCTTCTCCACTCTGCTCCTAGTTGGCCCACCGCTGGCAGCATTTACTTCCCGACCCTCAAGGCAGACCAAAGTGGTCCACTCGTCCTACCATTGGACAACATCAGACCCGCTCCAAATTTGGGGCACATACTCGGCTAAGGGCACAGTGCAAGAGCTGAAGCCAAGCCCTGACCCCTCCACTTCTTGAACCCGGCATGGTACCTAACATTATGTCTGCATACATATAAAAATAGATCTAATTAGACTCTGCAAAGGATATACATGAGGTCCATATGCTTCCTAGGATTTTCCATGTGCTTGCTCGTAGCTTCTTGCTTGCCCTTCCCTTCATTCTCTTTGCCCCATGTCCATGATGTATGGGTCTCAAGGCTCACAGAGATGCCCTAGCGGTACCCCCATGTATCCTAACCAACTTGGTGTTAGTCAAGACCGCCAGTCTCAAATGAATGGTCCACACCAATTTGGCCAGCCTCATCCTGGGCCGTCCCCACTCAACTTGCTCAACAATGACCTGCCACAGCACAACAACTACTTCAGTGGACTGTGGCTGTCCAATCCTGCAATGGTAAACTTGTCAGAATTAATTCAATGTGAACACGGCAAACTCACATATTATTAGCCAGGGGAAGATGGTGTAAACAAGAACATGGGAAGACTGTCAGGCAATAACAACCTATGAGAAACCCCATTCATCCCCAGGCACAACAAGCAGCACACACCTTCCCTGTCTATACATGGTGTCAATAATTATATGAACCCCCAGCCAGCCAGAACACCATACCTCAGTCATGGAAACTTGCAGACTCCTTTCTCATCAGGCAGTGAGCCACGCTCTCACTCACAGTCCTTGGCACCAGGTGGAGGCCACAACCCTGACTATAATCAGTTTGGATGACCTCATCAATCACATGCAGGAACATGCCTGTACCAATGTGGCGGCTTGCTTTTCCAGGACCAAAATGGAGATATGCAGTGCCCAGGTCCATAGGGCAGAACTGCCAGTGCCAGCAAATTTCTGCATCTGTCTGAAAGCATGCAACAGTTTTGGAGTAACATTACAACTTCAAACAATGCACTTATGGTACAAGTGCAATCACTTCAAGGCAAGATGCAGGGTCTTAAGGCAGAGATAGCATAGTTGAAGGAGGAGTATGAATCGGGCAGGGCCACCGGAAACAAGAAAGTGACTACAATGAATATTTTGAACGACCATCGCAAGTTAAAAGTTAGTTTTGCATGCATTCTGAGTCCTTCAGAGACATAAAACTTCATTCGAGAAGTTATCAATTGAGTCTGGGATAACAAAAAGGTGAGTCTGAACAATTGAATATAACTTACAGACTTACTAAGTCAACATAGTAATTGTGTGAAGATCCAAACTTGAAATCCAAGATAAGATAACCCTCAAGCAGTTTCTGCAAATGTCATGTGATGTGACGAGCCTGTGACTGCACTTCTATTACTGCATTTGGCACCAGGACTCTAGAAGCAATGTATACAGCCATTATCGTACTTAGGTGATTGTACAGAACAAATAGCTTTACAGTAGGTACAGAAAATTAAGATGGGTGCAAGGATATTATGTAGTATAGGTTTATAAGTGACAGTTATAACAAGAATAAAATACAAAGACCAAGTTTAATTTAAGTGTGCATCTTCGAGTTCTGACATTATTGCAGAGGGGAGTACACAACGGCCTCAGTATCACTTTGTAGCCCAAGCTACTTGTTTGTTGTTAAGTCCCTTGTGATAAGCATCCATGAAACGGCGTGATCTGATGGCAAACCTAATTTTTATTAGTGTTGTGTAGGTACAGATTAGATAAGGATCATGCTTACTTTCACATCCTGGTTAGAGGAACTGCATCCAATGCTTTCACAATATTGTGTTTTAGATTAGCTTCCCTAGCTGATAATGGATAGCAGTGATACAGCCGCTTTGTATACCCCCAGCATTGTTCAATAAAACTGAGTTAACAGTGAAATTTTGGAAGGAAGAGCACCTTGAAGCCCCTTGACCCACTCTCTCTCTCTCTAGGTTCGACTCAACATTAACAAAATCTGGCTGGTTGTAGAGAATATGGCAACAGCAACAGGAGGTTGAACCATGTGGACAGTCAAAATTCTTGCACTGAGCCTTCAAGTTACTGAAATCAAAACCACACTCCTTTAGAATTTTTGCCATTCCCTTGAACATCCCAGCTTCTGTGTGACCCTCGGGAAAATAAAAATCCTGTGGGGCACCATTGAAGACACCATTAGCAATGCAGACTTTTTGCATTAAAATTTTCCCATCTGCCCCACAAACTTGTTTCCCTTCAGCATCCCTCACTGGAGCATTAACCCCCCAGTCCTTGCAACTCTTTGGCATTTTGTGAGCACTTAATGCATCATCGGCCCTTTTCAGGTGAGTAATTGCATTGTTAAAGACAAACAAATGATCATCTTCATGGTAATCTTTCTCTAGGATTACCATCGCTTTCTCGGCATGTTGAAGAATTTCATCATTTGTGAAGTACCCATCCCTCCCTTTTCCTGCCCTAAACAACACTTACACAGATTCCTCCCATTGCGAGACCACAACCAGCCATAATCTGCTGAAACAAAATCTGCAACCATAAGAGAAGATCCCTTGCCCTTTGGTTGTGGGGTTGCCTTTTCCTCTGTGTGAACCCAACATTTTTTGCACCAATCATTGGCATAGAAGGTAGACTCGTCATGGAACCACACAACAGTCCATTGCCCAATCTCCTGCCCTTCCTCTGGCTGTGTAACATCAACTGAAGACCATATTCATACCATGCTGGCAGGAATTGATTTTGCTGATAGCGAACTATGTCCTCTTGTTTGTGGTCATTGACATATTGCCTGTTTTGTGCTGTGGTCCATCGAAATCCACAATTTTCCATCCAGTGCTGTGCAGTTGCCAATGAAATGGTTTTGGTGAGCTTTAAACATTGCTGTACATCTGGCTGTGCAAGATAATCAATGACTGCTGTTGCAGAAATATATTTTCCCAGCAACTGGAGATGAACCAGTAACTCCTCCTTGAGATCTTCATCATCAATCTGCAACCTCATCCACTCACCACCATACCATAAGTCCCTTTTCTAACAAATTGTGCAGTCTGCAGTCCTGCAGCTGACCACAATGCACCAGTTACAAAGGCTCACAGGAAAAATTCTGTCCACGTCAAGCGCTTCTACAACAGCGAACCAAGGGAAGGTGGTTTGTGTACGTGTCCCTTGAAGTTCCTGTGTGGGTAAAGTAATTTCTTTAGGTCCATTAATATCAGAGTGGCAGCGCTGATGGTGGGTGACATCTGGAAATCACCCAAATGCCACTGAGGAATGGTTGGATGAGCATCATGATACTGCAATGATGGTGCAACTTCATCATCCATGTCTTCAACAGTGTTTTCTTGATGGCCGGTGTGCAAAGCTTGGGTGATTTGTGGTGCGGAATGTGTTGTCACAGAGCTTGAGTCCATTAATGAATTGTCATCGGGCAATCCCATCATTGTGGCTGCATAATCATCAAAATTTTCAAAGCCTTCAATTGGTCCCAGCTCATAGTCACCAGCACTACCATGGCCTCAGTAATCCAAATCAATGTCACACTCTGATTCCTTATCACTACTCTCCAAGCCAATGTCCACTGGTTCCTGCAATGCAAGTGAGAAATCCTTGGAGAACTCTGCCTCTGGCACTCAAACCAAGTCCAAATCCTTAGTAGAGAGTTGGATAGCAGCACCAGCAACATTTTTCTCAAGTTGTGTGAAAACATCGCCCAAGACTGACAAAACACTCTCAACTGGGAGCTTAGAAGGTGGGGAAGTGATTAAAACAACTGATTCACAGCCTGAAGCTACTACAGAACTCAAAGATATACAGTCTATTGGATGACTCTGTGTGGGCATGAGCATTGGTCTCCAATAGCTGAAAGTGAGCAAAATTGAAAACTTACATTTTCTTTATCTGCTGAGATTTTCCGCTTTTTTGCCTGACTCCCTAGGTTCTCGATTGCAGAACAGACTTTTCATGACCACTTTGGCATCTAGGTGAGTTTCCATAGTGGGCAGACAGCAAATGTGAGAGGCAAAGCTGAGTTTGGACTGTCCGGGGGCTGTTTAGGTACAATGTATACCTCATATCTTGCTTGTATTGCTATCTCTTCTTTCAATATGACACAAATGATGATTTTGGAATGGATGAATTGTTGAGAAGGACCTGCACTACAACTTATCCATCTTATTTTTCCTCTAACTTGATCTTGTGAACATCCTATGGCATTTTATTGTTTTGTCACACTTCATCACAGTTTATCACATGACATTTGCAGAAACTGCTTGAGGGCTATCTTACTAGATGCCAACTATGACTGCCAACTTATTACCAATTGCACAAAGGCATATTTCTGCAACATCCACAAGCAGTTTCTTGAACACCATGATGATGTTAAGGCTAGAAAAGCACTATAATGTAAGAATCAAGGATGGTGGTGTTCATGTCGTCAAACAGTCAGTGTTTCAGAAATATCAAACTTGATATGATATCTGACTGACCCCAGGCTACCAAAACTCATCAAAAAGCAGCAGAGGCCTTCAAGAAGGAATTTGGTCATCCTGGTGTCCTGTCAATAATTGACACAGATTTTGCATCAGATGTGCTATCCTATGGCTCAGACACTGACCTTATAGAAGACACCCTAAAATGACAAAGGGATGCTGATATGGGAAAGGGTGCATTCATGGTAGAGGGTGCACAATGGAGAAGTCCCAATGTGAGCTTTGAAGTTAACATTTGAATAATTTACTGACCATTTCAACACAAAAGTATATTGCCTTCGGACATTGATTGTCATTCAAGAAGTTGAAGGCGAACAAAGGTCCTGATGAAGATGCACCAGCACCCAAACACTGAAAAGTTGTTGAAAATAAAGTTGTCAAATCCATGTTTGATCTTGCACCAAATAAGATGTGCAGTGAACCACCACTCTCGGTGTAGAGAGTATCCCTATGCTAGGCTCATATCCACCACTTTTCCGATATATCATACATCCATCAATGTCAATCCAACATCCATCCATTCCATCTGATACCCATCTGCTTTGTAGATGACAAGTGGATACCTTCAGATCTCTTCCTATAGCTTGTGCATCCATCCTGTCTGTGTCCATTCTACTTCATTGGTACATACTCACACACATTTTCTTGTTACTGACTGAACACAGACATATCCTCTCACACTCCACTATTTTCTGGATGGCTTATGGCACAATCTAGACTCACTACCTATACTTCAGTGTTCCTTGAAAATACTGTACCCTATAAGCATAGAAGTTTTCAGAAAATACTTACTTCATGTAACTTCCTCCTATTTTTCCTTCACCTTACCAGAATATCACTTTCACTTATACCCACTATCCATCTAACTTTTAATGAACTTCCTTTGAATTTGACTTGCATCCCGTCCAATCTGCAAGTTCCATCTGCTCCATCTGACAAATCCATACATTCCAAGTTCTATCCACTTCATCTGCTTTTGTGGATCCTGTAGGATCATTTTAGACAGAGACTAGCACTCCCCAGTAGCAATCCCCTTTAGGGTCGAACGTGCTTGTTCTCAAGTGAGGCAGCAGGCAGCAAAGACCCAACTTTGTAGTAGTTAGATATTCTCGCTGCTACATTTGTTGTACCCACATCGGGCAAAGAGACCATTCCCTTCCAATCTATGGTTTCTGAGAAATGGCTGAAGAAAAATCCAGGTATCACATTGCTAGATGGTAGAGAATGGCTGTTTGGATTTTATGGTTGGTTGAAGGAAGGTGATATCCACAAGGATGATGCGAAGTTTCTGAATGAGCTTAATAAGTGGCACAAGAAGGATGAGTCAAGCAATACTAGTGACAAAGAGGATTTCCCTGCTGCAGGCCCGTCCACTGGCAATTAGTCTTAGCAGCAAAGAGTAAAGAGTTTGATGAACCATTCTCTTGATGAATGCAAAATTTTGTCGCTATTACTGTATTTTGTTAGCAACAAGTCAACTTCTGCAGATGTGTATCAAGCACCCTTGAAATGTCAATTGTCACCCACACCTTTGTCTTGCTCTTGCTGACAGACACAGTCATCATAGCAAGCTGACCCATCACCCAGTCTGGGTCAATGAGATGTGGTAGCTGAGTGTCATGGTCCAAATATTCCCCCAGCTCCCAAAGGTATACATCCACAACTGAACTGTTGAATGGTTAGTGAATAGAATCAGTTTTAAGTTGAACTTGTAATGTACAACTTGTCCCATGGAGATGGCTCTGCACACCAACCTTTGAGCCAGCACATTCATGTGAACCACATTGGATTTCCTTGTCTATGAAATTTTTGGTCAAACTGGAAAATTTCCAAGATCTTGCCATAAGCATGACAAGGTGGCCCATTGGGACCGACCACATTGCCCATTTCACGTACTACTTCACCTACATATGAGCTCAATACACACAAAATAACAAGATCACCCATCACACAAGAAGCAATAGAAGCCATGTCAAACAGAGTCAAAGATGCGCCCAGTGGGAAAACCTTTCTCGAATCGAAGCTACTCTGCCACATTGGTCAACCTTTTACATTAAATCACCTAATATCAGTCCTATTTCAAATCACACAAATGTCAAGCACTACGCCGGTCCCGGTAGTCGTGGCAATCCGAGCAGTGGCCTTCCTACTGAAGGACATGAAAACGGGTAATGTAGCAGATGCGATCATGAAGCAAGTTACACAGTCCATCATCACCAAGCTGGCTGACAGCACGCAGCCGACACCCTCTCCAGGAAGATCACTGACAACATCATGGCCAAGCTAGTAGACCATGTCGTTGCAGCTATATTTCCTCAAGTCGCTTTAATACATGACGCCTCCCAATCCCTCACCTCAATTATAGAAGACACAAGAACGTTACACACCTCCATAGGCAGAGAAAGAACCGAAAAAGAGGACAACATCAAAACAGCAGCAGACCATATTGAGGATGCAGCAAACACCCTCTACGACTCAGTGGAAACATACCAGAAGGCTCTCCAAATCTTAACCCCATCCCTAGACGTGACTCAAGAGAAGATAGACCAGCTCTCCACACAGATCTCTAAGGCCCCCATGCAAACTCCTGGAACAGCACACCCATCCTACTCTTCAGTGGTGGTGACACACATACCACTGCAAGTAGACAGGGCTTTGGGCCGCGCAGCACTTCAGGCACGTCAGATCCTATTAGACCCCCTCCCAGGAGGAACCCTATTCCTGCCAAATACCTCAAAACACAACATAGCAACCAAAATCAAAACCGCACTGGAGGCAGCAAGGGATGACTCCACCCTGGAAGGCACCATCTGCTCGATCACAACCCTACATAACGGAGGTATAATCATCAAATTAGAAACTGAATTGCTGGCCAAGTGGCTCAACAACCAACCAGGTAAAAGTGCACTAGAAAGTCACCTAGACATACCTATATTGTTCCATCAACGCCAATGCCCTCTAGTTTTAGAATACTTACCTATTCAGATGCAGATTGAACAAGAGGACTTCCTATGACAGATTGAACAAGAAAATCACCTCGAAACCAGCGCCTTCGCCTCAATTAGATGGATCAAGCTGCCCACAAAGTGTTCAGCAGAACAATGGAAGGCTTTTGCCTTACTCCATGTCACAGACATCCAAATAGCAAATGACATCATCCATGAAGGACTATGCTTGGAAAGTGAGAGATTCAGTGCTAGGAAAGACCAAAGGGAACCAATGAGATGCGCTAAGTGCCAGAAATTCAATCATATCACTAAGAACTGCACCTCCTCACAGGACACATGTGGCACCTGCAGAAACCAACATTGCACCTCAGCCTGCAACTCATACCATACAACACGCTGTACCAACTGCAGAAGTCAGCAACACGCCAGCTGGAGTCGCTCATGCCCCAAATTCATCAAACGCTGCAAGGAACTCGACAACAAATACCCAGAAAATTGAATGCCCTACTTTCTAACCGAACACGCATGGATACACGCAGCTCAACCAATACATCAACATAGGAACTCAACATCCCCACAACCCTCTCCCCAAAGACCCCATGGTTCCTCCCCCGGACGCCTATGCCAAATGACCATTGCACTCCCCAGCCAACCAACCCATGAAAGATCGCCCCAACGTCTGCAAGACAAAGAAATACACAGAATCATCGCCGCCCTCACCCCTCCATCCTCCTCCTCCTCCTCCTTCTTCTTCTCCCCCTCCTCCCCCTCCTCCCTCCCCCCCTTCTCCTCCCTCCACATCTGTGAACAACAATACCAATGGCTCACCCTCAAATCTATCCACTCATGTCTAATCACACCCTTAACCCCCCTGCTCGTCTACATATATGGCAACAGAACCTCAATGCCTCCATGGTAACCCAAGCATCACTCCTCAACAACTCAAAACTTGCTGTCGACTGGGACCTCATCATCATTCAAGAACCTCATATAAACTTCCTCTGCAACACGCGCGCAAACCACTGATGGCACGTTCTATACCCCTCAGAACATTATACTAATCCTCAGCAATGCTCTCGGGTGATTACACTTGTAAACTCTTCCATTAATGCTAACCACTGGAAACAGATACCCTTTCCCTCCTCAGATGTAGTAGTCATGTAGCTGAACAGCCCATATGGATGCTGCTCCATCTTTAATATCTATAATGACAGCAATTCTCAAGATACTCTTATGGCCCTTGATACCTACCTCGAAGACAACATCGAAACAATCCGGCCCATGGAAACGGACCATATGCTCTGGCTAGGCAACTTCAATCACCACCACCTGCTCTGGGAGGACATCCACAATTGCCATCTGTTCAACTATACAGCAGCCAGCCTGCTCATTGACCTCATAGCAAACTACGGCATGATTCAACTACTCCCCTGCGGGATCCCCACTCTCCAAGCTAACTCGACCGGCAATTGGACCAGACCGGACAATGTCTTAGGGACAGAAACAATAGTGGACTCGCTCATCTCCTGCATCACCGACCCCAGCCAATGCGGTCCTCGCATGGACCACATCCCTATCCTCCTGACCCTAGAACTAGAAACATCAAAGTCTTTGACTGAGCCTTGACGAAACTGAAGAGAGACAGATTGGGAAGCTTTTAACGAGCACCTAAGCAAAGCACTCAAACCGTTCCCACCTGCCCCTTTGGCCTATGAGGAAGAATTTCAACAAGCCGCGAGCCGTATCACCAGAGTTATCTCAGATGCAATGGAAGCTACCATCCTGTTCACTAACCCCTGCCCCACTTGAAGCATTGGTGGACAAAGGACCTTAGTAAACTTCGCAAACAGGTCAACGAAGCCAGTTGACTGGCCTACCAACTCAGAGGCCTCCCGGAACATACCTGTCATGATGAACTCAAATCCATCAAGAATCGCCATGCAGAAGAAATTGAATTGACGAAGAAACAACATTGGATCAAATGGCTCGAAGATATAGAAGGTAACAATCTATGGACAGCTAACAAATATATATCCTCAGCACCCAAAGATGGGGGTAAAGCCCACATTCCAACCCTCAACATTCATTGACCGAATGGCACCACTACTGAAGCCATCACCAATCAAGAAAAGAGTACCATCTTAGCTGAGTCCTTCTTCCCACCCCCCCTGCTGACGACTCCATTCCCCCCCGATCCAGACTACCCTGACCCTGTTGCACCTCACACCCCATTCTGTCGAGACAAAGTCACCCGGGTGATCGCAAAACTTAGCAGATACAAAGCTCCGGGTCCCGATGGCATCTGTAACATAGTCTACAAGCACTGCGCCAACATATTAGTACCCCATCTGACCCACCTCTTTAATGGAGCCTTTACATACTGAACATTCTACAAGCCCTGGAAACGCTTCACAATGGTAGTCTTACACAAACCAGGGAAGCCTAACTACTCGGTCCCAAAAGCATACCGCCCTATCACCCTCCTTAATACTCTAGGAAAACTGCTGACGGCAGTAGTAGCAGAACACCTCACCTTCACCCTAGAGCGCTACCAGCTCCTCCCACAGACACACTTCGGGGGCAGACCCGGGCACTCAACAACTGATTCTCTCCATCTCCTGGAAGAAACTATCAAACACGCCTGGAGGAACCACAAAGTAGAATCAGTGCTCTTCCTGGACATAGAAGGCACTTTCCCGAACGCGGTCACCAAGAGACTAATCCACAACATGTGCATGAGGTGCATCCCAGGTGAACTGATTGATTTCATGAAACAGTTGCTCACACATCATCATACACAGCTCAAATTTGACGGTTTCACATCCAACTGGATCCCCATCAACAACAGCATTGGCCAAGGAGACCCACTTTCAATGATACTCTATATTATCTATAGCTCCGATCTAGTTGACATGGTTCGCACCCACCGAGGAAATGAATCTCTCAAGGAACTAACTCTCACGTTTGTTGATGACACTGCTTTCATAGCAGTAGGTAAGGACTTTGAAACTACTCACAAAATCCTCACAGATATGTTAGAACACCCAGGAGGAGGATACAATTGGTCTAAGGCACACAACTTGAAATTCGAGACCAATAAGTTCGCTCTCATGGACTTTTCCATGAACCGTCAGCGCAACCGCCCAAACATGCACATTCAAGGCTTGATTATATGTCCTACCGCCACTCACCGCTTTCTAGGAGTCATAGTGGACCAGGAATTATGCTGGAACGCACAAGTAGACCACACAACAGCTAAAGGATTGGCCTACATCCTCCAGCTATGTTGTCTTTCTGCCACTGCTAAAGGCCTACCCCTACGACTAATGCACCAACTCTACCAAGCAGTAGCGGTACCCAAGATGTTGTACGCGGCGGACCTATGGTTCACACCCTTGTACCATGACGGCTCTGATGTCCCTCAATGAGAATCCATTGGTGTAGCGAAACACTTCACCTCCATCCAGCATATCGCTGCAATAGCAATCACCGGCGCATTAAGAACCACAGCAACGGACATACTAGAGGCACATGCCAACTTGCTCCCTATCCTGCTGCTGCTACAGAATACATGTCACCGCACTATCGTCCGCATGGCTGCTCATCCCAACACCCACCCATTATACACCCCTATACACAGAGCTGCCAGCCACTTCGTCCGATCTCACTGCACCTCCCGTCATCGCCTCATGCGCCAATATCGCATCAAGCCAGCAGAAATAGAATCCCTCATCCCAGATCGAAGACCCCCCACCAGCTCTAACTCCTATCACACCCACATCGCCACCTCCAAATCTCAAGCCACCCAAGACCACAACGCGAACAAGGACTCCATACAGGTGTACAGTGATGGCTCAGGATACCAAGGTCAGATCGGTGCAGCAGCGATCCTGTTCAGGGCAGGCCGCATCCCCCGTAAACTTCTGTTCCACTTGGGCACAGATGAAGAGCACACAGTGTTCAAAGCCAAAGCAGTAGGCCTAGTGTTAGCAGCTGAACTCATCGCAACAGAAGAGGACACCGTATATCCTGTATCAATCTTTGTGGACAACCAAGCTGTCATTCAAGCTGGTGAGAGCTTCTACTCGAACCCAGGTTCCTACTTAATCAACTGTTTTCAAGAACATCTCAACGCGCTAGCAAGAGCTGATATCGACTTCCAAATCACCCTGAGATGGCTGCCAGGTCATTCCGACATCCACGGAAACGAAGAAGCTGACAAGCATGTGAAAAGAGCAGCGGAAGGTCAGCACAGTAACAGCCTGACAGAAACACTCCCCGAATTCCTACGTTACAACACCCTCCCACTCAGCATCTCCGCTCTGCAGCAGGCCCATCATAGAGTCACAACCGAACGCTGGGAACACCTCTGGTGCAAATCCCCAAGGTACAACCACGTCAATCGTATTGACCCCAAGCTGCTGCATCGCTCCTTCGTCAAACTGACAGCAAACTTCCCCAAACAACTCACTGGCCTCTACATCACCCTATGCATGTAACACATTCCCCTCTGACGCTACCTGTACCACATAGGCAAAGCCCCATCGCCTAGTTGCCCACACTGCCCAAACATGGATGAAATGGTACCGCACTATCTCCTCGGCTGCCCACGTTACCACAGAGAGCGTCATGCATTGCTCCTAGCAGTGGGCCGTAACACCACATCGCTATCATTCCTCCTGTCAGACCCCTCTGCAACCCCACATCTTGTCCACTACTTCAACTCTACGAAGTGCCTAAGCAACACATTCGGTGAAGTACCCCTGCCCCACAAGCCTCCAGACTGATATAATTCTGTAAATTTTGTAGCTAAAATGCCCACACAACCCACGCAAAGTCAAACCACCCTCGATCCTCACCCCACCCCCTGTAACAACACTCCTGTATCACCACTGTACCACCTCCTTGTACACCGCCCACACTCGCCTACACAATTTCACCATGCATGCACCGGCACATGTCAAACAAAGTACCAGGATAATCCTTCTGTCCCTAAGGACCACCCACTACTATATGTTTACACCATGAAATCCTGTACCAGCCTGCCATCAGCGGCCGAGTACGTGTCAAACCATTATCACGATAGCCTACATACCACACACATAGTTACTATAGTCATCTCACTCATTGAACAGCGCGTCTAAAACGGCCAGCGGGAATGGCGGACTAATGGGGGTACACCTCACATCAGGGCAATCGCGGGTTTGGAGATGTGATTGGGACACTGGGAGTCCCATAGACTAGACTGTACTGTCCTACATAGAGTATTACTCTGCAAAGGACAAAAATTGGAATCAAAAAAAAAAAAAAAAAAAGGTCTTTTGATAGTGCTGCTAACCTGGCTACTGTGCCCTGTTCTTTGTTGGATGCTTTAATCATAATGTCAGCAACTGTGCTTGGAAGCAAGTCCTTTGGATGTTGGACAAGAGAGTGAGTCTGCAGTAAGTGTAAGCAAGCAAACAGTGCAGCACTACATAGCATACCATGCAGTTAGTTTGACATGTACACTGGAACTCGTGGAAAAAATGTTGTCTCAAGTTCACCATTGCCATGGTTATTCATTTTGTAGGATTTGAGTACTTTGTTGAGGCATTCAAAGAGGAACATCCAGAAGTTGTACAAAGGGCCAAAATTATGTGCACATTCACTAACATGAGTCACATAATGATGATTAGGTTTGATGAAACTTGATCCATACAGCTGGCAAATCATAACACATCAGAAACCCTCCAAACATGTGATTTTTACTCATGTGGGTGAGCCCAGAAATATATTCACAAAGGAGCCTATCCATGTCATTGATATCTTGGTCAGATATTTGATGTCAGACAATGATATGAAGTGCAGTGCTAAGCTTCAAGAAATTTTCAGGGTCATCTGGATGTAGGCAGAACTTTGCATTAGTACTGTCATCAGCATTATCAAAACCTTCATTTGCTGAAGCAGTAGGAGGTGGTGGTGGTGGTGGTGGAGTGGGACAAATTTCTCCTTTGGTGAGATCATCAACTGTCTGTGTCATAGCTTTGCACTTGATGGTTGTCTTGAATATAATCAACTTTATGACTTCAAAATGCAGCAAATGATAGGCATGCCTAGTGCACAGCTGCTTGTGCCTTTTCTCTGCAGCGATCCTAGCTTTCTCTGCCTGCTTAGTAGTAGTAATGCGAAGTTTCTCTTGATTCTTGACCTCTGCTTCCTGCAATTTCAGACTGGCAATGTGTGCCTTCTCTGCCTCATAAGCATCCTTCCCATGTTTCTTCGCATCAGCTAGAGCCTTTCTATTGTCAGCATTATGTGTAGCTTCAACTGTCCTCTCTGCTTCAAGCTTCTTGACAGCAGCAACACATTGATGGAGTATCTGATCACTGGCATCTGAAGGTGTGCACGCACTACATAATTGAGGTATCTAGAAGACAACAGTTTAGACTTAACTTCAATGCTGACATCACTCACAATGATGGGTCCATACACGGTCAAAAGTAATAACCACTGATCAGCTGTTAGGGATCCTGTTAAGGTCATGCTCAAGGGAAAGACTACTCAAAGGGCTTTGGCTTCAGCTCATGCGCTGCACCCCTTACCCGAGTACATGCCCTTAATTTTCAAGGGGCAGAGGGGAAGTCTGACAGAAGTCCGGGGAAGTCCGGAGGTCAGACGTCGGGGGAGTTTGGCAGAACTCCGGAAGACTATGAGGGAACAGAGTAAGGCTACCACGGACAAGTCCAGAGTAGAAACAGAATAGAGTTTAGACTATCCTAAGGTAGAGCCGGAGATTTAGTCCTAAGGTTTAACCCCTAAGACTCAGAGGTGGACAAGAGGTGAGACTCAAGTCCAGAGAAGCAGGAATGAGCAGAACTAAGATGATATTCAAACTGAGGAGTTCCGGAGTATTACAGGAGCTTATATACTGTAGGTATCATGAAGGTAGATCAGTCAGCAAAGGTAAGGGCTATGTACAAAGCATGTGGAAAGTCTATTAGTAAGTGTACACGGATCAAAGCAGTGAGGTTGGAAATGAAGTAAGAACAGACGGATCAGTAAGCATAGCGGAAAGGACATAACCAGTAGCCGGAGCAATAACTATTCTAAAAGGAGATAGGGGTGAGTATGGAGATGAAGGCGGAGCGCTGGGCAAAATAACAGGATGGAGAACTGGACTTTAGTGGAGGGGATCCGAAGTTCCGGATCCGGAGGTACGGGATATGACAGATCCCCTGGATGGAATGCCAATATCCATTGGTAGTTGACAAAACCAGATGATATCCCATGTCCATCTGACCCTTCCTAGACCCACCTGCAGGTATCCATCTCCCATCCACTTCTGTCCACACCCATCTGACACTCACCCATACACGCATGGATGATCCACCATTTGCCTGCATGTATGCAGATATGTAATGAGAGGCATTGGAATGTTTCGGGGATACATGTAATAGTGAGTGTGTCATATACCTGATCCAACCGCTCCAATATCAATATCCGCCCCGCTTTCCGACAATCTCTGCTCCATCTATTCCTCCGCTCCATCCAATCATCAACTGCATCCGCCCCTGTGCTTCCGCTCGACCACCCAACTGGTCCCCTTCCATAACGCCTCCATTCAACTGGATCTGCTTTCCCCTTGTAGATATATACTTCCCCCTTCAGTACATAGACCCTTACTTCCAGATCACCAGTAATTCCTATTACTGCTCGATCACTGATCCAACACATACATATTGATATCCGCTCTGACTCATGTCTTCACCTGTGTAAAGTACTTACAAACTATATCCTTGGTACATAGCTTTACTACATAGTTATCCTGATCACTGCCTCATACATAGAAGTATATAACATATCCTGTACTTAGATATTTTCCTCAGTCTTAATATTACTTGTCTTCTTGCAGTTACTACTTGTGAGAATTCTCAGTAGGACCTTGCCTCCCCTGGACACAAGTTTTAACTTGTTGTCACCTCCAACCCTCTGCTCCGAATTAGAGCCGTGCTCTAAGTCTCTCCCTTATTTCTCCGCCCCTTTCAATATTCCCCTCTGACCCTTTTCCATCCTCCGCATTATCCTCCACCTTCCCCGCTCCTACCAAACATTCCCCCTGCTCCTATCCACCCTCCACATCACTCCCCGCCTTCTCCACTCCGCTCCTAGTCGGCCTGCCGCTAGCAGCTCTTACCTCCCGACCCTCAAAGCGGACCTAAGCAGTCTACTCATCCTATTGTCGGACAACATCGGACCTGCTCCAAATTCAGGGCACGTACTCGGCTAAGGGTGCAGCGCAAGAGCTGAAGCCAAGCCCCGACCCCTCTGCTTCCTGAGCCGGCACGGTACCTAACAGTGTGTTTGATACAAGTCATGGACTCATAGGCAAAACACATGGTTTGTTAGCAAGCAGGTTTTCGCCCATATATCAGAGGCACTTTGGTAGATATTTTCCCTCAGTCATTTCTATCACCTCCTTTGGCAGCAGCTGAGGTATGTTATCACTTACATTCATTTATACCACAATGTAGCTAATCTAGAGTAGTGCAGATTCCATCTGCTTTACTTAGGTGAATACAGTTTTTTCTATCGCCTCCTTTGGCAGCGGCTGAGTGTGGATTTTATCTGCTTTACTTAGGTGTATCTGCAGATCCCATCCATGTTGCTTAGGGTACTGACAGATGGTATCCACTTCACTCAAAGTTTTGTTAGTAGTTTGCCACATGCTCCCAGTACAATAAACTGCAAATTTGTTGGATGATGAATGCATTAAAAGACTAGAACATATGTCTGCAAGCATCTCATGGAACATGTCAAGCTCATGATTTGAGTGTAAAATTTTGCTTTGTACCCATATATTATAGAAATGTGTCTTGATGAGGCCTGATTGTAACATTAATTTGTGTCATAGCTAGCAATGGCCCATGTCATTTACCTAGAAAGAGATTATGCATTGGATTGATAATGATCTGCTTGACTAAGTTGAAGTATGGTAATTGGGAGAGTTGCATATATCGTGTAGCAAAGTCCTTGACAAAATTCTTGCGTGCACTGGCTGTTGGAAGATTTCGGTAATGGTTGCCTGGCTCATGCTGTTCTTTGTTTGTCCGTGTGCAGAATACTACAGCAAATCCAAACCTGAATAATAGAGACAAATGTATTACAATTGAAAACATACCTCCTTCTTGAAAGGCAGCTGGTGTGGTTTTGTTGCTCGGAGTGATCCAACACAGGGTGCAGAAATTAGTGTGTGAATGGGAAGCAAACCCACCCACTTTATGAGCAGCAGGTTTGTCACATATGACAGCAACTAGAATTATGCAGACAAGTCTCCCTGACATTCAGATGAGGGTCAGAAGCAAGATGTAGTAATAGTGATGCACATATCATGAGGACATGACTCCATTGGAACCCTGATACCAAACTTCCACAAGTGCAATAGATCTGATATGATAGGATGAAGAAACCATTGAATTTGATCTGGGTTCTGCTCCTTTGGTCCAGGAAGTATACTTGTACACATAAGATTTAATGTACAATATCTATAGATTATTAGTAGATCACACTTATTTGAATCAATGTTGGATGATCCTTACTGATACTCTGGGGGAAGATTTCAAACTAAAAATGATGTTGGAGCTGAAGAATGAGATGGCGCAATATTACTGTGGATGTACAAAACCTACAAGTACAATGGGTTAGCAACTGGAGATACCTGCATGCTCTATATATGTACCAGTCCAACCCAAGATTGATGCCAATACAGAGCTCGTCATTTGGACCATTCTTTTCATGAGGAAGATTCGAGAAGAACAGTTTACTGTTCGGATCCTTGAGTTTGGTGCAGCACATCACATCATCAAAAATATCTGTGTATTATCTTGCAATGTGAGGTTTCATGTGCCATGCATCAAGTAGTGCTTCTAGGTCAGGTATCTTCAAGAGAGATTTCAGCTGTTCAGAGAGTGGGAGATGAGGGTATTTTATCACCAGGGACTTGACTGCGTGTTGGTTACCCCACAGAGTGTGTTCTGGCAGGAAAAGGTCATTGAGGCAGATCAGACAAGTATCCATGGTATGTGGTGAACCTGCAGGAGGGAA